TAAGGTTTCTTCTCATGTGTCTCAGATGCTGTTTTATTGTGGCAATATCAGTCGCAACGATAAAAGCAATAATGGAGCCAATTATTGCTAACCCAAAGGTTCCTATGAATCCAGCCAGTGGCGCCTCCATGCGGGGGTTTCCAAGACGACGGGATGAGTCAGGAAGACTTAAACTGGTGTCTGAAAAAAGAGTAAAGCCTCATTCAGAAAACCCCATTTAATAGAGGTGTATACTTATTATTATTACTATTATTATTATTATAAAAATTCGAAAATTAAAAAGAAAACCAATCATATTAACAATTCGTAAGGTAGCGCAATTAATGTTATAGCTTAGAAAAACGTAGATCAATGCCGTTTAAAATAGTACGAGCTATCTTAACAAGGTGCCCATATACAGGGTACTATAGAAATTCGAAAATGAAATATGCCAAAGAAAACCAATCATATTAACAGTTCGTAAGGTAGCACAATTTTTATTAACACTGAAATGTTATAGCTTAGAAAAACGTAGATCAGTGCAGTTTTAAGATGCATATGAAGTCAATTTATTGCCACAAAAGCCGACCAAAAGTCAGCATACATTTTCAAGCAGTATAACTAAGAGGATTGCGAAAAGGAATTGTTTAATTTTTCACAAAAATGATATTTGAATGGAGCTAGCATTCTATGCTGTATATTAATGGGACAGAAAAGTAGGTCACGAAAGTAGGTTTATTTTCTTACCAAAAATTTTAAGAAAGAAGCAGTCTCAAGCTCTTTTATGGCTGATCCAGTGATTTATTCAGTTTATCACTTGGCATTTCGAATTTATTTGAGTCGTATAAGAAACTAGTAGAAGTGGTTTATGTATGTTACTGGGAATCCATGCTCCACCGATGCTCGGTTCATATGTACCTTTAAAATAGTACGAGCTACTGTATCTTAACAAGCTGGCCATATACTACTTGCACGTATCATTGTTTGTCTTTAATAATACGATAGGCATATAGTGTGGTGTGTTTTTAAGGCAGGCCTGTTAACGGGAATTTGGGATCGGTGTTATCCCCCCCCCCAATATATATATATATATATATATATATATATATATATATATAAGAATGATTACGTACTGCTGCAGTCAATAAAGTCTGGGATCCACCTTGTCTTGGAAACACAACGGACGCGTCGACTAACGTCACCATCGGGGAAAACGGAGCCGTTTAAGCAGGAATATACCACCCACTTATTGTACAAAACAATTATGGGTTTGCTGACAATGGTAATCTCGGTAACATCGTTTGGAATTGTACAAACTATCACTGAAATAAAAGACGAGCATGATAATTGTGCTTGAGAAACAAGGTATAAACCCGTCCTACTTCTTATATATAATTTTGAGTGTTTACCAATTGATGAATGAAACTGTCGGATAATATAGATATGCGCCTTCATGGAAAATGTGGAAAATGATCACAATAGTTCACAAAAGTAAACAATCGAATTAAACATAGTCTGGGTCAGAAGTACAATAAATATATGTACCCTGGAGGCCATTTATGTCAATTCAAGCTATCCAATCTTTAAGACACTTTCATATTGTCTGGTTTAACGTTACAGAATGAGCAGTATGACCTTCACAGATAAAATATAATAAAAGTTTATATCGTTCTGGAAAATTCAACTTTATCGCTAAGGGCACATGCTACTACCAGTACACTTTGTTCACAATCGTTAAAAATATTTGTGATCTATTCACTATTTTGGAGTTTAAATTTCTAATTGTGATTGAAAAGCTAAAAATATAAGGCCTGTCAATGGTTTTGGATATATTAGGCCTGTACGTGGGTGATCAATAGAAAGTGCTGAAATTTCCAAGGAAAATAAAATGTTGCTATGCAAAGGTCCAATGATTATCATATAGATTCAAAATCTGTCCAAGTCGTACTTACGTTCACACTGGACGTCAAAGTTGCTCCACGTCCCGTTGTTCAGGCACTCAATGGCACCGGAAGTTGACGTACTGACCAGCGCATAGCCCTCATCACAGGTGTATTGTACCACAGTCCCAGTGGCAGTTTTGTTAGTGCTGTAAGACGCATGGGGTATCTCCGGTACACGTGGACATTCTGAAGGAACGCTGGTCGTGTGAGTGTTTGGAATCGTTGTATTGCCCTCACCAATTGTCGGTGCGGTAGTGGTACTGTCTTCTGTTGACAGGTGGGTGAAATTATTCGATGTTTCAGTGTGGCTGAAAACGCCAGTCGCTGCCGTTGTTGCAGTGGATATTGAAGGCAACATGTCGCTGTCTAAGAAGCCAGGAAGCGTTTGAATCGAGCTGCGGTCAACAGAAAAAGCAACAGAAACACCAGTCGCTGTCGTTGTTGCAGTGAATACCGTAGATAAGCCTAACGACTGGTATGTGTTAGTTGCGACTGAAGACACAGCATGACTCAGAACTCCCGGTGACACCGAGGGCGATGCCATGAATGGACCAAGGGTAGAGCCGCTGTTGGATGAGACGCCAGACTGCCAAACTTCTTGCAAGTAGCTAATCGTGGCAATATGGGTATCTGTGTCACCACCATTAGTCACAGACGATGTGTATGGGGTGGTTTTGGTGCTAGAAAGTGGGATTGGTGATATGGCATTTGTGTGGAAACTCGGTGTTTCCAAAAAAATCATATCTGACTGGGAGTTGAACGTTGGGATGGCCATAGGTTGTGAAGTACTGATACGGGAATCAGCGTATATCACAGTTGACTTATATAAGTTTGATTCAACTTGGAATGTAGTCTCTGTCCAGCTAGGCGATACCATCGATGAATCAAGTATTTGCGTGGGGGCGGTTGCTGTATTAAACCAAGCCGAGTAGCTAATTTGTGTACCGTCAATTTGGGCACTGATATATGTGCTGTCAGCGTACTGAACCGAAGGTTCAACGTTTTGAATAAATGGAACACTGGTGATGTAACTCTCTGCGGTAAGCAGAGCAGAATTTACCTCAGAATATGCGTCACTGATAACAGTGGTGACGTCATAGGTTATAGTGTTGAGTGAGCTCTCTGTTGGATATATACTGTCGTCATTGATAATAAAAGTGGTATGTGAACTCTCCATGGAAATTCCAGTGTTCGAAATAATTGCGCTGGAACTTTCATCCCTGTCAAGGAGAGGTACTCTGCTGGCGTCAACAATGTTAGCGTCAAGGGTATTTTCTGGTTTTTGTACTGTTGGGCAGAAGCCAAAGCAAGCACACGCATGTATATAAAAACATGTTGGAATACGCATGATTTTCAGAAAAACTTTACCACAATCAACAACAAGTAAAAGGTTTTACTGTTCAAACACGTTATAAGAAGCATCACAAAACTGCTCCCTTATAGTTCCGTGCTTTGGGCATATTATCACGTTATACACGGGCTCTACACACTGTAAAAACAGTGTTTAGCATTTAAATACATACAACACACGTTAGGCACCTATACGCATTTAGAAATCTGTGTAAATGCTAAACGCGTATAGCTTTTCAAACGTTTCACAGAAGAAAAAGCTAGACACGTTGGCATTGTTACACGTTTAGCTATGTGTTTAGCTTCACCGGCATATGATTCTATAACAAGTCTATCACAAGCTAAGCATATTGGCTAAGCACTTCCCCTGCTAATCGCGTGAGGCTGCTAAACATATGGAGCTGCTATAGGTGTGGAATTCCTTAACGCGTGGAGCTGCTAAACAACATGTTTAGCTTTTCAAGCTCGTCACAGAAAAAAATGCTTCACAATCCCATATATACATGTACGATCCCATAACAAGTTTATTACAAGACTCAACAATTTTGCTAAACACTTCCCCTTGTAAACATATGGGGCTGTTGGAGGCGAGAAGCAGCCTGCTCGAACGCGTTGTGTCCTTCCTTGCAGTAACGTGTGATTATTTAAAATAGGCCTATTAAGTAATAATCCAAATAACAAATAACGTTTTCACGACGTTATCAGCTGGTTACATGATGGTGATGGTATAGAATAACGTAATGGTGACGTTATTTTGGTGTTTTTAACTCCATGCAAAATGATGCCCTTGCAGTTTTATAAGCGTTTTTATAACTTTCTGGAATAACATTATTTAATGTTTTGAAACCTTTTTTTTATTAATCACCAAAACACGTCTTATGCTGTATGAACTACAGTTAGCGGTTAATTCCAAAATGGGCTTGGGTTAGTCGGCGACTAGAGCGGTGCGATTTGAAAAATATTCGGACTATCGTTACCAAAATAACCAGCATGTGATGAAAGCTTAAATAAACCATTATAATGAATACCCCACCATCATCCTGATGTTCTATTGTTCATCACTTCCGGAAAAAATAAATGAGCATCAATACCTTAACGCATTTTATCAAAATATGAAAAAATGTTTTAAAGTAAAAGTGATAGTTGTTTCGTGTCTTTAGTAAACTAGTGAATTTTCCTAACTTGTTTTTCAGAAATATATTCCAATTAACTTCCTCGCAAGGTCAGCTAAGACAAGGATGAATAAGTCCCGCTGTAAAGATGATGGTGTGAATCAACTATGTTGACAGTTCACGGTACCCTGTTATAAATAGAGATAGCTATAGCAGTTAAAGGTGACCGTGACTTCGCGCGCGCGCGCGCGCGCGTGTGTGTGTGTGTGTGTGTGTGAGAGAGAGAGAGAGAGAGAGAGAGAGTGTGACTGAAACAGTTGAAAATGTTACAACCTAAAGCTAAACAAAATACACCCTACATTTATTAGGCGTCAAGCACGTCAAAGCGTGTAACATGTTAATAGGCTAAACGTGCTTAGGTGCTAAACGCGTGGAAAAAATGAGACAAAACAGGCGCTTAGAAATGTGTCTCAGAGCTAAACACTGTTTTTACAGTGTACTCGTATTATATATATGTCTACCTACTAATTTGTTTTTCTAAAATTGTACTTTTGTTCATCTGAAGGGACAAGACGTATATGTTCTGCATGTTTCCGTCATATATTTCAGAGTCACCATGAATGAAGATCAAAAGAAGAGGATCAGACAGCAGTATGTCTACCTGGTCAACAACCTGACAGACCCGAGGAGTACAGGGCTTGCTGCACACCTGTACCAAGATGGCGTCATTGAACTGCGAGATCGTCAGATTGTTGAGAAGAAAAAAGCAACAGAAGACGCCATAAAACACCTGCTAGATGCCGTCATGAACTCTTCACATCAGGGCGCATTTGATTGTTTCCTCAAACTTTTAGAAGAATATAGACAAGACTACCTGGCCAATGTTTTAAGACAAAGTGACAGTTCTGATGGAACAGGTGAATAACCTTATACCAGCTGTATTTCAGTAAGGCGAGGGTTAATTTATGCTTTTACGTTCTTACTAGTACACGCATATTTAACCCTCAAGTGACCGAGTGGGGTCATTTACGACCCCAGCCATATGATTTAATGTGCCATGTCTTTATTTTTTATTTAAATTTTCTTTCCTTGCATGAGTTTGTCAGTCTACTAATCCTACACACTTTCACTGTTTTTTGTAGGGATCAACCAATTAGTGTGGCGTATACATCAAAAACTCTTGTGGGGTCATTTATGACCCCAAAGAGAAGCATTGGTTTTTACATATTAGTTTTTAAATTTTATTCAAATGTTTTGCCTAAGCAACACTGACAGGAAAATGTCACATGCATGTACTTCATGCAACCAGCCAGTGTGCCCAAAACATAAGCACAAATAAGTGGTTTGTGAAGATTGTGCTTGAAGTGTTACTAATATTTAGTGCATCGCTGTATCTTATTTCAGTAGCTTTGTTGGAACTTGTTATCATAACTGGGTCTCTCATTTTGACGGTTACAATTTTCGGGTATTTCGGAAATCTAAATAATTTTGTCGATATCATATTATACATGTATTAACAAATTGTTAGTGTGGATTTTGTTTTATACACAGCTGTGGTAGTAACATACCGGGTAGGTTGATTGAATGTGTTCTGAGTAGTATGACTTCCTTCCCAGCATTAGGGTATTCCCTACTCGACAAGTCAGCTAATTATTCTTATTGAAGTTAGCAGGATGCTATCTCAACATAAATCAAAATATTTTTACTCAAAGTAATTTTGCAATGTACTTTTTTCATTTAGAGTGGCAAATAAAAAGAGAAATATTTCTGCAAGTGGAAACTGACAAGGACTGTCTAAATACCGGTGTAATGTTGTTCTTAAAATCTGTGCTTGGTTATTTCATGCAATAAAAGTATTATTACCAAATACTTATTACATTAGATCATTATAAAATACTTGTCTTAAATCCTGGGAGTAGTATGGGTGTGATAAAGCCTCAACAGCCTTCTATAATAAGGATCCCTGTACAGAGCACAATGGGGTCATAGATGACCCCACTTGGTCATTTCAGTCAGTAAAATAGCTTGGTCTCTTGAGGGTTAAAGGGATAACAACTCTTCATATTTTAGTGGTAGCGGTGGGGGGTAGCATAAAATAAGTATTTCTTTAAGTATGATTTTCGTAACACTCTTAAGAGATTGTTTCCTCAACCTTTTAGAAGAATATGGACAAGACTACCTGGACAATGTTTTAGGACAAAGTACCAGTTTTGACGGAACAGGTAAATTCCTTAATAAGACCTACATGCATTTCAATTATAAGGTTCTACTCAGAGATGCGTTTGCGTCCGTATAATTTAAAAATATGAAATGTTCTAACCGTTCAAAATTTATATGCTCAATGTAAGTTCGCTCAGAACTCACCGCGGGTTTGCATAAACTTTCTATTGCAAGGTTTCACGAAAAGGAAATATAATTTGAGTAATGTTATAGGACTTTCATAGCTGTATGTAAAATGAATGGTAAAACATTTGCCCTTCTGTGCAGTAAAATATCACCCCTTTGACCGTTTACTTTAAAATGATATATAAAAACAAGGTTAATTATTTAATTTAGCATAACAAGCGTATTACAGTGTCAAGTCATGGAAAAAATACTCTTACCTATGTTTTAATATCATATAACGAATTAATGTAGATATCTGTTTTATACTTCGCTAACGTATAACATATGTAAGGGGAAACGACGTCATTGTGCATTCAAATTTTAGGTTTGTGTGAGGTGTGTCGATCCAGAAGACAATAAATCCCCTGCCACCTCCGTGTGTTTGGACTGTTACCAAGACGTGTGTTCTCTGTGTGCCGGCTGTCATAGGAGGACAAACGTCTCGAAAAAGCACAGACTGAGGGAATTAACAGCTGCAGCCTCAGACAAATGTCAGGTACACCCGTCCATTTATCCTAATTCCTACTGTCCCCAATGTGACGTCCTTGTCTGTGAGCGATGTATGGTGGACACACACAAAGGACACGCGGACGCTTGGAAAGACGTCATAACAGGGGCCGAGGACTTGAAATGTAAACTGAACGGGATTATTTCTGAAATCAAAGATATAACTCTCAACAAACCGTCAATACAAAAAGAAGAACAGAAACGACTAGCCGACTTGGACGACCAAAGGCTGCTAGCTAAAGAAGCTATTGAGACACGAGAAGACGAACTTTACAAGCTGGTGAAAGCAGGTGCTGAAAAAGCCAAAGAGGATGTAGACAGAGCGTATTTGGATATAAAACTTCAGCTGCAAATAACCAATAAAATAGAATCCCTCGAAAAACAACTGAAAGCCTATGAAAATATGGTGAATGACGCTTCCGTCTCTAGTGTAGTTAAAAATCACGCGGAATGGGAGGCTTCACTAAAGGAAATGTTGGAGACGCTTTCCCCCACCTCTCCCGTGCCTGTGCTAAGATTTCAAACCATCACTTGGGCAGAAACAGCCATACAGCAGGCAATGGGTGCGGTGGTTATAGGAGAGATCACACCGACACTGATCACACAACACCATCTGCAGTATTCTAAGGACCCGAAAGAATGGCCCATAGCTGTGGACAGCATGCCTGGTGGTGACGTCGTGGTAGGGACGGGGTGTAAAGCTGATAAAACCAAGCGTCGTATCATCATCTGTTCCTCAACAGGAGACATCAAGAAGGAGATTAAAGTTACGGGACTGGGAGGACTGACAATACTACGTGACGGTACAATAGCAGTTACTGTATGGGACAGTAGTACACAGGAAGTAAGGATATATACTAAAGACGGTGGTATGATGTCATCGTTCAAGTGCAGCACACCTGGTCGTATTACAGTGAACCACGATGGACATCTGGTCGTGATGGATGCTAGAACAGCCACATGTGGTAACGTAATGGTATATCATACTGACGGTACACAGCTCAGGGTATTCACTGATATCTCAGTGAAACCAGTACAATATGTCTTGAAGTGCATAACAACCACACCCAGTGGTGACGCCATAGTATCAGATCCCAATGACTGCTGTATACGTGTCTACACACCTGAGGGTCAGCTACGGTACGCGTACGGTGGGGAGGGCGTCATGAAGAGTTCATATGGTGTCTGTGTGGATGAAGATGGAACCATATTTATCTCCGACCTCCATGCTGACAACATCCACCAGGTGTCTCCTGCTGGTCAGTTCATACGATATGTGCTGACAGCCAAGGATGGACTGTGGGCACCCAGGGCAGTGTGTATCAACCAGGAAGGGCACCTCGTGGTAGCTCAACAGGACGGATGGATCAATACATACAAGTATAAATGACGATCTATGGCTGTCATAGTGACAGTCCGAAATTAACTTTGGAAATGATAACATCATAACTACATTTAGATGCGTATTTAAGATAATTTTGTTTTTCTTTATCAAATAAATCAAATATCTCAACTATTGGGTTCTGTCTTGATGCCACTACTGATGGGTTCCTGACCGCACAAAAGTAACTAAACATGTCAGGAATGCACATTGTTTCTGTGAGGTAAATTAAAGTTCTAGCTTATAGTGTTCGGTGGTTTGATGCTTTTTTCAGTGTCATGAGAACGTTGAAAGTTGAAATGTTTCATTATTTTCTTCTGCAAGCAAAAACCACGGATATCAACATGAATTCAGATAATGCAATAAATAATTTTCATAAAGGAAAATGACACAAACAATTGCAATAGGTTAAGATACCATTTAAGACAATCAATTAAATTAAAGTTAATCAATCATAATGGTTGAAGAGATTTTGATGAAATTCGCAGGGCAGGTTACAAATGGCCCAAGAAAGCAATGATAGGCCTAATGATGACGGTCTATTGATTAATTGAATTATTGATAAGTAAATTAAGTTATTTATTAATTATGTACAGAATCTGGTGAAAGAAGCTATGCTTGGTCGGCTAGCAGTTAAAAAACGAGGTCTTTTAGATATTTCGTGAAACACGGCATTGTCAGGGACGGACTTTGTGACGTTGGTAACCAAGTTCTTAGTCAGGGGAGCTGCCATTTCTTTTTTCATTTATTTATTACCTCCGCCAAGGACCTGTTTGTCGGTCTGTCTTTCTGTCTGTCTTTCTGTCTGTCTGTCATCAACATAACATAACTCAAAAAGTTATGGACCGATTTTGATGAAATTTTCAGGAACTGTCAGAAGTGGGCCAAGGAACAGATGGTTAGTTTTTGGTGGTGATCCGGATCAATGATCAATAATAAAAAAAAAAAAAAACTAAGTTATGGACCGATTTTGATGAACATTTCAGGAACTGTCAGAAATAGGCCAAGGAACAGTTGGTTAGTTTTTGATGGTGATCCGGATCAACAATCAATCAATAATCAATAATCAATTAATAATCAATAATCAAAAATATCGAAAATTTAGGGGTGAAATGGCATTGGATGGAGACTTTGGTGGATCTCTGTGCTCTCTGAGTGCTTTTCTAGTTCTTTGTAAAATAGGGGGCTGGTAGAAGTAAAATAAACTTCAAAATAATAAATAAATAAAATAATACATTAAAATAAGCATGGTATACGCATTTAGAAATATGTGTAAAAGCTAACGGCTGTTTCACAATCAGGGGTACAACATAGGGGTCACATTGAGAGAAAAATTAACTCTGATGCATTTGTTTAATTTTGTAACAGATAAAAAGAATAACATCTTAACTATGATATCTACAATTTTTAGAGCACAATATTAATTACTTTTCGTCCTACGCTCAAATTAACAGAACGCCCCTTAGACTATGATCTGGGGGTAAGGACACTACACATTTAAGTAACTGATGCTTTTGTAACTGAAATATCATATTGTTTACCAGTTATTTTTGCCGAAATTCTAAAAAATATCAAACAAAGATATAACAGCAGTACTTTAACCAAAAGGATACAAGTACATGTATTAATCAAAGAGTTTTTTAGAGAAACACCACAGCACGTTTTTCAGTGGATGCTGGAGCTTGGTTGTGTGTCATTCAGTGTGACTTTCATTCATCAGACTTTAATTTTAACTTTTATATCTGTTGCTTGACCTTTTTTATTTATTCATTTTTTTTGTTTCAGTCTTGATTCCTGTTTTTGGAGTCTTTTCTTCTTTTTCATCTCTCGTTAATTTGCACCTCTGGTTCTACTGTTTTCAGGATTGTTGGGTTTCTGCTTCTACTTAACTCTCTGTCAGTATGCCCTAATTTCTACTCTATACTTTAGACTCCGTTCACATGAAAAATTTATTTTCTAAAAATCCATTTTCTATTCGCGGCATCATGTGATCATTCCGAGCGCAGCCGAGAATTAATTACAGCTTTAGCAGTAACTGGCTCGCGCTGCCTAACTTACGCCGCGGGGTATTCAGGGCAGAGACCGTGATCACAAGATACCGCGAATAGAAAATAGATTTTTAGAAAATAGATTTTGCATGTGAACGGTCCCTTAGTCTTTCTTGCTGGGCCAGCCTAGGATGATTCTTCATTTTTCTGTTTCTATTCTATGTTACGTGCATTCAGCAACGTCTTCCTTACGTGCTTCAGCAAGATGATCTTTACGGATATTAGCTCTTTGACGTCTTTTTTTTTTCCAAATTATTTTTTGCCGAAAGTAAAATTTTCAGGATCCGTTTTTCTTTTCCTATTTGGCTTTTTGTTTATTGTCATCCATATTTGATACTTCATTCACTGAGAGTATAATAAATGTACTGTTAATTATGTATGTATTGAAGTGTTCGTACCGCCTCAAAATATATCATATACATTAATCCATAGAATATTAATCCATATACAGTTTATTATTTTGCAATTAGCTATATTTGGCAATATATTCAAACCAATATTGTGCATTTTGAATGCAAAGAGTGGCATCTTTCCTGATATTATTTCTTTGCAAAATCTCTTGCCTGACTCTAATTAATGAGTATCACTTTATCGAATATATATTTATATACAATGTTTTTTCTAAACATCATAAGACATAAATGCATTTTATATAATCTAAAACAATATTTTGTACCATATTTTGAAGTTTTATCATTGTTGATAAGTAGCCAGTTATCCAATGGTTAATTTCTAACTTGGGGGTACGGACACTACAGTGGGGGTACGGACACTACATTTGGCACCAAATTCTTGCATATCTTTGCATTATAAGGGGTTATGTGCTATTTTCTTCCTGCAAAATAAATGTCAGTGTAGACATTATAGAATAATAAAATCAGACAGAATATGCTGTGATTCCTAAATAAAACAGATAGGGGGGTACGGACACTACAGAAAGTAGGAGACACCAAGGGGCTCATGATTACAAATACCATAGCATTAATAATAATGGTTACATATGCACAACTCCTTTATTATGTTTAAGTCATAACATGGAAAATTCATCTTATTATCGCGTAGGTGATTTCAAAGAAATATTTGGCATTCTCAAATATGTTTTTCATTGCATTAACAAAAATAAGTGAAATGTGTATCAAAGCCCGTTTCTGCAAAATGATTAAAATATTTCTTTTTCTCAGAACATATCTTTGGATGAACCTGCTAGAAGAGAAGACAGATGTTGTGGGAATTATATACCAATATCATATTCACTATAAATCACTGACATAAAGAGCTAGTGCATCATCTTTATGACCTTAATTGCAAATGACCCACCGCAACAGCTAAAAATAGGTACTTTTTGAACACATAATTGGCTATATTTTTGTAAATTGTAATCCGATTATTATAATTCTTTTTTTATTTTGCTCCTATGAACAGTGTCTTTGATATTAGTCTATCAGCAATCTCCAATCATAAATTGTTAATTTATCAGACACTTGTAACATTCACCTTTTCAAGCGTTTCACAGAAGAAAAAGCTAGACACGTTGGAAGTGTTACACGTTTAGCTATGTATTTAGCTTCACCGGCATATGATTCTATAACAAGTCTATCACAAGCTAAGCACATTGGCTTATCACTTCCCCTGCTAAGCGCGTGAGGCTGCTAAACATATGGAGCTTCTATACGTGTGGAACTCCTAAACGCATGGAGCTGCTGAACAACACGTTAAGCTTTTCAAGCTTGTCACAGAAAAAAAAACAAACAAAAAAACTTCACAATCCCATGTTCACGATCCCATAACAAGTTTATTACAAGACTCAACAATCTGGCTAAAGGCGACTAATAGGGTTAACTACTCTTAACTACTCTGTGTGTTTATAGTAATCAAAAAAGTATCTAACATTGGATGTAATAATTTTTTTGAATTTGCACTGCAAAATGTGTCTTTTGATGAGTTTTTCAACTGGCACGCGCCCCAGTCAGGCTGACAACTAAGCCACGCCTCTGTTACTAAGGGCCGTTGCCATGTTAATGAGCACATTTAATGAGTTATAAGCCGATTACGTGTGAGGTAATAGGTCATAAGTCTTACATCAGCTAAGCAGTGAAGAAGTCGAGTACGCTATGGGGAAGAGAAAAGTTCGTGTTAAAAGGCCATTTCCAGAGGAAAGAAAAAAATTTGGAAGAGAGTATGCGCGGCGGTTGGGGGGAAACCGGTATTTGTTCAGTCGGATGACGAGAGAGAGAATCTACCTGGAGCGAGCGCTCGTAAGATTCTGAAGGATTTAGAACAGTCCTCGGAGTCTTCTGACAGTGATCGTGAGGAAGAAACAGTAGCTACTACAACACATCAGACTTATTCTTAAGATAACTTCATGCGGACCCAAAGTACGATGAGTGGTCTCGTATTAGACGCAATCCACAGTAAAATGCCGACGCAACTTTTACATGCTTCAAAATATATGAATAGATACTTTTTTTACAATCAACACGTTCGTGGTTTCAAAACTCACCCACACTCAGCGTCTCCCCTTTATCTTAGATGGCATTTTGAGAGATACGTACCGCTCTGAAGTAATCGCTGGATTTTTCCGTTGATCTGAGGATTACCAAGTGCCGTGCAAAATAATCCTGCAGCGTTACCCGTCAAAAAACTCGTATTAACACAAATGACAGCCACTTGCTCTCGACACACAGTTTTATCTGATCACTTTGCCGATAACAGAAAAGGAATCTCTCAGGTAAAATTACTCGATTGCCGAGGAAGAGCCACTGAAACGTTCAAATGCAACTTCACACCTCTTAATTGCGGTTAAACGTAATCGCCTTTGATAGCGCTTTCTTCTACATATCCCCTACAGAGCTGTCAATCAAAATGGCGGCACGCTTACATGCCTAACGAGTGGTCGGAAAATGTAACAAAAGCACGATTTTCTGCCCTTTCAAAGCACCCAAACAAAATATTTTTAGATGTCAATGAACAATGGTTCCATCTGATCGTATAACCGATAACAGGTAATTTTGCCAGCTAAGCATTTGACTAATAAGCTCT